AGGCAGAGACACAGGCAGAGGGAGGAGCAGGCTCCACGCACCGGGAGCCCGATGTGGGACTCGATCCCGGGTCTCCAGGATCGCGCCCTGGGCCAAAGGCAGGCGCTAAACCGCTGTGCCACCCAGGGATCCCCTCTATTGGATTTTCAAAGAATCAACTCTTGGTCTTAAAATCAAACATAGATTTTAAGGTTTTTTTAATATTTTATTTTTATTTATTTGAAAGAGAGCATGAGGGGATCCCTGGGTGGCTCGGTGGTTTAGCACCTGCCTTTGGCCCAGGGCGTGATCCTGGAGACCCGGGATGGGGTCCCACATCAGGCTCCCTCCATGGAGCCTGCTTCTCCCTCCTCCTGTGTCTCCACCTCTCTCTGTGTGTTTCTCATGAATAAATAAATAAATTTTAAAAAGAGAGAGAAAGCATGAGTAGGAGGGAGAGGGAGAGATAGAGAATCTAAAGCAGACTCTGTGCTGAGCAGGAATCCGACACAGGGCTCAATCCCACGACCCTGAGATTGTGACCTGAGCCAAAAACAAGAGTCAGATGCTTAACCAACTGAGTCACCCAGGCGCCCCGGAGTTGTTTTCTAACTCATTAATTTCTGTTCAAAACTTTAAAATTTTCTTTTACTTTCTTTCGGTTTTGTCTTTCCTAAAACATGGAGTTGAATGACTAGTTCATTTATTTTCAGTCTTTCTCATTCAGTATGATAAAAGAGTTAAGTACTCTCATGAAGGTCATTCATTTAATAAACAGTTACTGAGTAACTGCTATGTTCTAGATTCTAGTACAGAGGTGGGGAAGCTAGAGCCCATCCATGAATTTGGACTACCACTTGCTTTTGTACGGACTGTGAGTTAAGAATGGGTTTTATAGGTTTAAAGTTGCAAAAACAAACATTATGCAACAAAGATCATTTGTGGCCTGAAAAGACTAAAATATTTCCATCTGGTCCTTTACAGAAAGTTTGCAGACTGCTGGTCTGGCCTAATGGCAGTAGAGATGCCTAGGCAGTGCCATGAAGCAGGACTCTTCCATCCCCACGGCTTGCCTAATGTGCAGATTTCAATCTTAGTCATCGTCCCCCAGTGTAGTGATTCTCAGATGTTTTCATATCTTTGTTTTGCTCACAGACAAAATCTTGTTCATCAGAGATATTTCTTATCATGGATGTCCCACATAAAGAAGGAGAGGGGAACCTTTAAGGACCACAGCTACACTGCCTCCATTCTCAATAGTGTAGAATAATGTAAATGTTAACTTTTTTATTTTTTAAGATTTATTTATTCACGAAAGACACAGAGGCAGAGGCACAGACACAGGCAGAAGGAGAAGCAGGCTCCATGCGGGAAGCCTGACATGGGACTCGATCCTGGGGCCCCAGGATCATGCCCTGGGCTAAAGGTGGCGCTGAACTGCTGAGCCACCCGGGCTGCCCTTTTTTATTTTTTTAAAGATTTTACTTATTTATCCATGAGAGACACAGAGAGGCAGAGACACAGGCAGAGGGAGGAGCAGGCTCCATGCAGTGAGCCTGATGCGGGACTCGATCCCAGTACCCCAGGATTATGACCTGAGTCAAAGGCAGATGCTCAGCCACTGAGCCACGCAGGCTCAGTGTATATGTACATATACACCCTGTATATGTTAACTTTGATATATCAACGAGCATTTCAGTGATGTGGCTTTTTCTCTCTGGTTTTCAAGTTAAAAAGAAGAGTATTTTTAATGTCCTTTAAGAATATTTATTTTTGGTTTTGTTAGAAATCAGTGTTATTTTGACATAAAGTTGATAATTACCAAGGGATTTGTCAAAGCCTATGAAAATTGCAGAAATCTAGCCTTAGCCCAGCTATCTATGCTTTGAAGTTTCTGAGGGAGAGCTATAAATGAGCCAATGACAAATGGAAAACAGCTTTCATGTTCTCTAAAATTATACTGGTATACCCAACACCAGGCTCTCTGGCAAACCCTCCCCTCTACATCCTCAATGCAAGGAGTTAGACCAGAGGTCTAAGGGTGCTTTTCCTTAAGCCCAAACCCAAATACTGTCACCAGTCACATATCAAAACTCCTATACATTGTTGTTGTAGTGATGTGATTTGAAGTGAGGGTTGGGAGCCAATGGTGAAGAATTCTTGAGACTTTTTCAGTGCAAAAAATGCTGTTTTAATTACAACACAGGGACAGGACCTGTGGGCAGAAAGACCTGCACTGGGGTTGCCAGGAGTGGCTGATTATGTAAGATTTTCCATCCTATGGAGGGGAGGGTGATGTTAAGGTCCCAGGAAATTGAGTATAGGGTTCTGGAGGTCTGGCTATTGATGATTGCTTTTTTCCTTGTAAATCATTAAGACAGTTGCAAACTGATGGAAGATTCATGTCATGCATGACTGTGATCTCTGTCAGTTAAGCATCTGTTTTGTTTTTCCCCTTCCTTTGCTCTTGGGCAGCCAGGAGTGTCTGCACAACATCACACCTTTCCCACCTGGTGGGTGGGGTGGGAGGGGGGCAGTCGTTGCGGAGTTATTAGCGTGTGCTTTACCCTCGGCTTGCCTTTTGCTCCCTCATCAATAAGACTACTGGCCAGACTGAGGGGGGCACTTGACGGGATAAGCACTGGGTGTTACTCTAGATGTTGGCAAATTGAACAGCAATAAAAAATAAATGTATATATAAAAAAAAGACTACTGGCCAGGCCTGTAGCCCGGGTTGAGAGTATACCAAGAAAAGTAAAACTGCAAAGGACCATGCACCCTAACCACTTTTTTAAAAATTCCAGTATAATTAATGTAATGTTACATTAGTTTCAGGTGTACAACATAGTGACTGAACACCTCTATACATTACCCAGGGCTCATGACGATTAAGTGCACTCTTAATCCCCATCATGTATTTCACCCATCCCCACACCTACACCCCATCTGGTGACCATCAGTTTCTGGTCTATATTTAGGAGTCTGGTTTTTTGGTCTCCTTTTTTTCTTTCATCTTTTGTTTCTTAAATTCCACAGGAGTGAAATCATACAGTATTTGTCTTTCTCTGACTTATTTCACATACCGTTATACATTCTAGATCCATCCATGTTGCAGATGGCAAGATTGAATTCTTTTTCAGGGCTCAGAAATACTCCATTTTGGATCTGTGTGTGTGTGTGTGTCTTGATCCATTCATCTATGGACACTTGGATTGCTTCCATAAATTGACTGTTGTAAATAATGCTGCTGTAAACATAGGGGTGTGTATCTTTCTTCGAATTAGTGTTCTCATTTTCGTTGGGTAAATACCCAGTTGGGGAATTACATGATCATATGGTATTCTATTTTTAATTTTTAAAGGAACCTCCATACTGTTTTCCACAGTGGCCGCAAAGGCTGGCATTCACACCAATAGTGCATGAAGGCTCCTTTTTCTCCACATCCTCACCAACACCTGTGCTTTCCTGTGGTTTTGATTTTAGCCATTCTGACAGATGTGATGAGATATCTCATTGTGGTTTTCACTTGCATTTCCCTGATGATTAGTGATGTTGAGCATCTTTTCATGTGTCTGATACCCTAACACTTTTGCAGTAAGTTAGACTAGGCTTTTAGGGCTCCGAAAGACCCTTCCGGGCAGCCACGTGAGTGCGCAGGACCGGCGGCGGAGTCTCTGTCAGATGGGCCTCTTTTGTATTTTCTTACCTACTGACTGCTTCCCCATTGTTGAAATGGAGGCATGAAGACTACCCTAACCGTCCCACCCATTTAGAGGCGCTTAACTCACGGAGACCACCGCCTACACATCCCCCAACACACACACACACACACACACACACACACACACTAAAGGCAAAACAGAACTGCCGAACCGCGTCCTTAAACCTCACCCCACCAGATCAGTTCCGTACACAGCCTCAGGCTAAAGGGTGCATTTTCCGAAAGCAGAAGGACTGAGAGGGAGATTACATTCTGGAGAGTTCTCACTGTCCCTCCCAAACCCCTAAAGACAAGTGGAACGTACAAACACGCAGCTAGTAACGTTTGCACGTGACACTTGGACCAAAAAGCCTTGAAAAGGTAGGATTCTGAAACAGGATGCTGTCCTCTTGGGCAAGAAAGGCCCGGTCTCGCAGGCCGACGACCACGCAATAGGACAGAAGCACGCCGATTCAGCACACCTGAGTTACCTACCAGTGGCGGGAAGACGCCCAGGACAAGTACGTCACAGCGTGGCCCAGGCCCACGTCTGAGAATGGAACCTAGGCCCACAACCGTGAGTTCCAAGGCACGCCAGACGCCTCGACAGTGGAACGTGGCCCCCTGCTTTGCGCGGGACACATTCGCCTTGGCGCCCGAGGAAGGCCCACGCGGCCAAGGTTGTCTGTGGATGGACTGCGCGGCACAGCCGGAGCCGCAGGCGCACGGACCGCTGCAAGTGAATGACCACGCGGCGGCCCGAGGCACAGCCACCCGCTCTTCCCCTTGCTGCTTCCCGACAGGTGGAGCAGCTATCCCGTGTTACAGAGGAAGGCGAACGCAGGCGAGGGGCATCAGAACGGCTTTATTGTGGATTGAGGGCAGCAGCCCCGAGGGCCCATGCCATCTAGTGCTCCCCAGGGGTACGCGTGGGGCGTGGGCAACAAAGGAGAACCTGGGTGAGCACCTGGAGAGACACCGGCCTGCGCTAAAGCAGATCCCCGACGGGGGGAAAAAAAAATGGAACCGAGAGCCGTGTGCAACGTCCAACCGTCCAACTTGCAACAGAGGTGTACGGGGGTGGGGGTGGGGGCCCGCAGGGGGGTTGGGTGCAAGAGGAGGCCAGGCAGGGGTAAAGGGGCCGCTCGGTGTCCCGTGGCCAGCCTTGGGGGAGAGAGCCAAGTCCTCCAGGCTGACCCCGTGATGCTGGGGTGGTTGCCGCGCCAGTGACGGCACGAAGTCTGTGGGACGCGGGAGCCTGCAGTCCAGCGGCGTCCGGTGGAGGCCCTCGGGCGGGCGAGGAGCAAGACAGGTGTGCAAGTGCCGGGCCCCTGCCCGCCCGTCCGTGGGCACCGCCGCCCGCCCGCCCGCCCGCCCGCCCGCGGTCGGACGGCGGGGCAGATGCCGGGCACGCGGCCAGAGGCGGAAAGCGGCTTCGGGGCTGGCGCGCGCCGACTCGTCCGTCAGACGCCCTGCCCCGACGGGGACACGGCTTCCTGCAGAACGAGGTGCAGCAGGTGGTTCTGCTCCGCACTGAGCAGCGGCCACATGTCCACCTGCAGCGACTTGACGGCCTCCGTGTCCTTCTCGTGGGTGGCCATGACCAGGGACTGGAGCAGCAGGAAGAGCTCGTCGGGAAGCTGGCCGCCGCCGTCGGGCCCGTGGCCGTCGAAGGCCTCCCAGGAGTACTTCTCCAGCGTGTGGGCGTGCTCGGGCAGCAGCTTGGCGGGCGGCGGCTGCAGCAGCAGCAGCAGCAGCACGCGGGACACCTCGCAGCGGACCAGCACGTCGGAGAAGGCGCCCAGCGTGGCGGGCGCGGGCGCGGCGCCGGCAGGCAGCGGGGCGGCGGGCAGGGCCGGGGCGGCGCCGGGGCCCAGCGGGGCCGGGGCCGGGGCCGACAACGACGACGACGACGACGACGACGACGACGACGCCGCCGCCGGCGGGGCCAGGGGCAGCGGCGGGGCGGGCGGCGGCGGGGCCGGGGGCGGCTGCCGCAGCGGGTGGCTGCCGTGCTCCCGCGCCAGGCGCTGCATGCGCGTGAAGACGGCCAGGGCGCCGCTGTAGTCGCGCGCCAGCAGCTGGCAGGAGGCGGCGTCGCCCAGCGCCTGCAGCGCGGCCAGGGGCAGCTGCGGCAGGTGCAGCTGCGCGGCGCGCTGGAAGTGGCCGGCGGCGGCGGCCGGCTGGCCCAGGTCGCGCAGGGCGGCGGCCAGCTCGAGGCACAGGCCGGCGGCGGCGGCCGGCTGGCCCAGCTCCAGGTGCAGGCGCACGGCGGCGCCCAGCGCGCTGGCGGCGGCCTGCAGCGGCTCCCCGTAGGCCGCGGGGCAGGCGAGGCGCTGGCGGGCGTCGCGCTCCTGCCGCAGGAAGAGGCGCGCGGCCTCGGTCAGCGCCAGCGCCTCCCCGGGCCCGTGGAACAGCGCCTGCTGGCAGCGCGCCACGGCCAGCTGGCACCACGCGGCGTACGGCAGGCACTCCTGCGCGCGCAGCTCGCGGCCCAGCTGCGCGAACTGCTCGCCCGCCTCCGCCATGTTCGGCTTCCGCAGGAACCGCTTCCGCAGCTTGCTGGACACCTGCCGGTAGCGGGCCAGGAAGTCCCCGGCCTCGGGCCCCGGGCCCGCGCCGCCGCCGCCGCCGCCGCCGCCCGGGCCGCCGCCGCCGCCGCCGCCGCCGCCGCCCGGGCCGCCCGGGCCGCCCGCCGCCGCCGCCGCCATCTTGCCCGCACGCGCGCACGCGCGCACGCCCGACGTGCCCGCGTCCCCCGGCCCCGGCCCCGGCCCCGGCCCCGCCCCCTGCGGGCCCCGCGCATGCGTGCGCCGCGCCCCGCCGTCCCGGCCGAGGAACCCAGCGCGCGGGCCGGCGCGGCCCTCCCGACGCGACCGCGGCCCCCGGGTCGGCCCGCGCCCCCCGGCCCCTCCCGGGCCCCGAGCTAACGTCGCGGCGCCGGCCCGCGTGGCCCCGAGGCCGCTTGGCCGGTGTCACGATGGTCCCCGCCCCCCCAGCCTTCCGTCAAAGCCCTGTCCCCTCGAGTCCGCGCCGGCACCTGTGTCCCCCATTCGCTCCGCGCCGGCAGGTGTGTCCCCGCAACAGTCCGCGCCGGCAGGTGTGTCCCCGCCAGAGTCCGCGCCGGCAGGTGTGTCCCCCAACAGTCCACGACGGCATTTGTGTCCCCCCATTCACTCCGCGCTGGCAGGTGTGTCCCCCAACAGTCCACGACGGCATTTGTGTCCCCCCATTCACTCCGCGCTGGCAGGTGTGTCCCCCAACAGTCCACGCCGGCAGGTGTGTCCCCGCCAGAGTCCGCGCCGGCAGGTGTGTCCCCCAACAGTCCACGCCGGCAGCTGTGTCCCCCAACAGTCCACGCCGGCAGCTGTGTCCCCGCCAGAGTTCGCGCCGGCAGGTGTGTCCCCCAACAGTCCACGCCGGCAGGTGTGTCCCCCAACAGTCCACGCCGGCAGCTGTGTCCCCCTCCATCCCGCACCCAGGTTGTTAGGACACCAGCGTTCACCCCATCACCACGCCGCAGGCATGGTCCTGACCTCCAGCCCCACACGCGACATCGTCCTCGGGACCGGCCCATGTGGTGGTGGGGGGTCTTCTATGCCCCAGCGTCACCCCCAACGCGGCCACCCCTGCCCTGACCCCGAGGGAAGCCGGTCTTGGGTGTCATCACGGACTCCGAGCCGTCCCCGCACCCCAGCCGGACCCCGCCCCAGCCCCCGTCCCCGCACCCCAACACTGCCCCGGACCCCACGACCGAACCCCGCACCACGCCCACGAACCGGCGCCCCACGCCGCACCCCAAATCCTCCATCACCCCCGAAACGTGCACCTCCACCGTGCGCCGCCGAGGGCACCCCAACCCCCCGTCATCCCCGAGCCCCGCACCCCCACCCCAACCTCGCCCACGACCCCAAACCCCAACCTCCCCCCAGACCCGCCCCCGCCCCCCCCGCCCTCCCCCCGAGGCGCGTCCCGCACCCAGTGAGCGAGGCGCACACGTCTGGTCGTCTCTGCGCTTTTTATTGCGGGGACGCGGGGGTCACCGAGCCCCCCCGGCGGCTCCCCGGGCGGGGGCGGGGATCAGGGGCCGGGGCGGGGGCGGCTGGTGCCCGGCCGGGGGCGGCTAGTACCGGGCCGGGGCCACCTGGGACACGGTGGTCATCGTGAACAAGCCGCTGAGCAGCTCGTGGTTGTGCAGCGCCCGGTCCACGAGCTCCGGGGTGATGTACGCGCTGCGCCTGTGCCGGGCCTCGTCGCCCGCCAGCCCCAGCACGGTGGCCGTCAGGAACTGGATGACGGCCGCCAGGAAGATGGGGGCGGACGCGCCCAGGCGATTGGCGTAGCGGCCGGCCCGCAGGAGGCGCTCCACCTGGCACACGGAGAAGGCCAGCCCGGCGCGGGCGCTGCGCGAGCGGCACGACCTGGGGCGGGCGGCCCGCCCTCCACGGCTCCCCCGGAGCCGCGTGCGGGGCCTCGGCGGCGCTCGGCGCGGGGCCTCGGGCTGCGGCCCGGCTGCGGCCCGCCTGCGGACGGTCGGGCGTCGGGCCGCGGAGCCACGGGCCTCGGGCTGCGGAGACCCCGGGCTGCGGGCCGTCGGGCGTCGGGCCGCGGAGCCACGGGCCTCGGGCTGCGGAGACCCCGGGCTGCGGACCGTCGGGCGTCGGGCCGCGGGGACATGGGGCCTGGGCCGCGGAAACATCAGGCTGTGGACAGAGAGACACTGGCCTCGGGCTGCAGAGAGATGGGTCAAGGGCTGCAGACAGACGGGCCTCAGGCTGCAGAGAGACCGACCTCGGGGTGCAGAGGCCGACCTCGGGCTGCAGAGAGTCCGACCTCGGGCTGCAGAGACCGACCTTGGGCTGCGGAGACACGGGCCTCGGGTTGCAGAGTCCGACCTCGGGCTACAGAGACCGAACTCAGGCTGCGGAGAGACGGGCCTCGGGCTGCAGAGAGACCGACCTCGGGCTGTAGAGAGACCGACCTCGGGCTGCAGAGACCGACCTCGGGCTGCAGAGAGTCCGACCTCGGGCTGCAGAGAGACCGACCTCGGGCTGCAGAGACCGAACTCGGGCTGCAGAGAGTCCGACCTCGGGCTACAGAGACCGGCCTCGGGCTGCAGAGAGTCCGATCTCAGGCTGCAGAGAGTCCGATCTCAGGCTGCAGAGACCGACCTCGGGCTGCAGAGAGACCGAACTCGGGCTGCAGAGACCGACCTCGGGCTGCAGAGACCGAACTCGGGCTGCAGAGAGTCCGACCTCGGGCTACAGAGACCGGCCTCGGGCTGCAGAGAGTCCGATCTCAGGCTGCAGAGAGTCCGATCTCAGGCTGCAGAGACCGACCTCGGGCTGCAGAGAGACCGAACTCGGGCTGCAGAGACCGACCTCGGGCTGCAGAGTCCGACCTCGGGCTGCAGAGAGTCCGATCTCAGGCTGCAGAGAGTCCGATCTCAGGCTGCAGAGACCGACCTCGGGCTGCAGAGAGACCGAACTCGGGCTGCAGAGAGACCGACCTCGGGCTGCAGAGACCGAACTCGGGCTGCAGAGAGTCGGACCTCGGGCTGCAGAGGCCGACCTCAGGCTGCAGAGAGACCGAACTCGGGCTGCAGAGAGTCCGACCTCGGGCTGCAGAGACCGACCTCGGGCTGCAGAGAGACCGACCTCGGGCTGCAGAGACCGGCCTCGGGCTGCAGAGAGTCCGATCTCAGGCTGCAGAGACCGACCTCGGGCTGCAGAGAGACCGACCTCGGGCTGCAGAGACCGAACTCGGGCTGCAGAGACCGACCTCGGGCTGCAGAGTCCGACCTCGGGCTGCAGAGAGTCCGATCTCAGGCTGCAGAGAGTCCGATCTCAGGCTGCAGAGACCGACCTCGGGCTGCAGAGAGACCGAACTCGGGCTGCAGAGAGACCGACCTCGGGCTGCAGAGACCGAACTCGGGCTGCAGAGAGTCGGACCTCGGGCTGCAGAGTCCGACCTCGGGCTGCAGAGAGTCCGATCTCAGGCTGCAGAGAGTCCGATCTCAGGCTGCAGAGACCGACCTCGGGCTGCAGAGAGACCGAACTCGGGCTGCAGAGAGACCGACCTCGGGCTGCAGAGACCGAACTCGGGCTGCAGAGAGTCGGACCTCGGGCTGCAGAGGCCGACCTCAGGCTGCAGAGAGACCGAACTCGGGCTGCAGAGAGACCGACCTCGGGCTGCAGAGACCGAACTCGGGCTGCAGAGAGTCGGACCTCGGGCTGCAGAGGCCGACCTCAGGCTGCAGAGAGACCGAACTCGGGCTGCAGAGAGTCCGACCTCGGGCTACAGAGACCGGCCTCGGGCTGCAGAGAGTCCGATCTCAGGCTGCAGAGAGTCCGATCTCAGGCTGCAGAGACCGACCTCGGGCTGCAGAGAGACCGAACTCGGGCTGTAGAGAGACCGACCTCGGGCTGCAGATACCGACCTCGGGCTGCAGAGACCGACCTCGGGCTGCAGAGAGTCCGATCTCAGGCTGCAGAGACCGACCTCGGGCTGCAGAGAGACCGAACTCGGGCTGCAGAGAGACCGACCTCGGGCTGCAGAGAGACCGAACTCGGGCTGCAGAGACCGACCTCGGGCTGCAGAGACCGACCTCAGGCTGCAGAGAGTCCGATCTCGGGCTGCAGAGAGACCGAACTCGGGCTGCAGAGAGTCCGACCTCAGGCTGCAGAGAGTCCGACCTCAGGCTGCAGAGAGACCGAACTCGGGCTGCAGAGAGTCCGACCTCGGGCTGCAGAGAGACCGACCTCGGGCTGCAGAGAGTCCGACCTCGGGCTGCAGAGACCGAACTGGGGCTGTGGAGAGACGGACCTCGGGCTGCGCTGCCGAAACGGCGTCGGGGCGCAGAGAGGAGCCCCGGGGTGCACCGCCGTGCGGCGCGCTGGGCCGGCTGCTCCCGAGCCCTCCGCAGCGGGCGATGACGCCCCGCTCCGTATCCGAGGGACACAACCCCTCCTCGCCCCGCTGTGCACGTGGTGACACGCAGGCCTGATGAGGTCACCCCGTCCCCATTGGCCCCGCCCGGCCCTCGCCCGCCAGAAAAGCCGCTGGCGGGAAGTCGCTGGCTCTGCGCCGCGCGGACGGCAGGAGCTCGCGGCGCCACCACGTGCACCCCCGACATGTCGGCCCTCTCGGGTGCACACGCGGCACCACCCCGCACAGACGGCCCGGCCGCCGCGCGCTCACTGCCCCCTGCACCCCCTCCTGCCCCGGGGCACCGCTCCTCGGCCTCCCGTCCCTGCCGCTTGGCGTCCGCTAGACGCCTGCCGCAGGTGCCACCCTGGGACCAGTAGGTGGCCGTGTGCGCCGGCCGCGTTCCCTCGGCACCATGTTCTCGGGAGGGCTGTTGTCCGAGGGAGCGGGAATCGGGGCCCCCAAGGGAAAGGAATCGGGGGCCCTCCCCCCCCCCCGAGGGAGCAGGAATAACGGCCTCCTCCCCCCCTCCGAGGGAGCAGGAATCGGGGTCCCTCCCCCCCCTCCGAGGGAGCAGGAATAACGGCCTCCTCCCCCCCCCTCCGAGGGAGCAGGAATCCGCCCCTCCCCCCAAGGGAGCAGGAATTGGGGTCCCTCCGCCCGAGGGAGCAAAAGACGGACCTCGGGCTGCAGAAAGACTGACCTCGGGCTG